ATGACCCATACACACAGCTGGGGCCCAACCTTGTCTTTAGTTTCCGCCTATGCTTCCAGTAACTTTGCTTCTAGTTGGAAAAACACATTCCCTTCTTTATTTAGTCATCATTTTAATGGCTTGAAAATCAATGCGGCTTTTCTAATTAACATCCTATTTCCAACTTTAAGCACACATAAAGACTGAATAAATACTGAATAAATCTAGATCTGAATAAATACTGCTAGAAGATGAAGTATGACTTTCTGATAGTTTCCACTGTGATAGTGTGAGGGACGTCCAGAGACCACAATAACCTAGGGAAAAGATAATTTTAATAAGCCAAATGTAACTGTTACCTTCCTTTCTTCAAACTTTATCATTTTGATTATTTTAAATGTGCTATGAACTGCATACATTTTAATTTAATGCAAAAAGATTAAATGCTACATACAATAGGAAAAAAAACATTAGAAGAAATTGGTATCTTCTTCAAACACAATTCAATATAGCAATAAGAAGGCAAATCATATCGATATACACTGGGGGAAATCAGGTTGTGAATCAGGTCATATTTGGTTCCACTGAGGGACCAGTACATTTGCATTCGTTTGGCATGAGAATACCTACACTTCTTTTCCATGGGTTTGCTGAAGTGTATTTTCACTTTCCTGGTATCATTATCCTTTCCTATCTTTCTTCATTTTTTTCTCTAGGCTTTTTGGACAAATTAGGAGTGGAATGTGTCGTAAATATGATGAGTCAGGGGTATAATCAATGTAAAATGAATTATCAGAATGATTTTTTTAAACGTTTACAATAATCTCTTCAGTATATTGTCATATCTTTACGAAAATGGCTAATAAGATTTTAAAGCTAAATGACCCCTGGTGGGGAAAAATGCAAAATAAATGTTTGATAGGTACAAGTATATGAATTAGACTCAAGCTTTTCTGGGCTTCAGAAAAGTTAACAGAGACTACTGAATTATGAATTTCTTCCCCAGGCAAGTCAAGCTCTAACTTTAGGAATTTCTGTAAGAAAACCACAACCTTGCATTATTTTTGGTCTGAAGCCAAAATATTCGTCTGAATTTTGGCTTAAACATTTATACAATGTTTCTAAAGTCACCAGATACCAAGCTCAGAGATGTTGCAGAAATTTACTATAGACACATTTTAAGTCCTCCAACACTGGCAAAGATGCACATGGGCATACGTTTAAGGAGCTAATTGCAACAGAGTCTACAATTATTCTGGAGATTTGGAAAAAACCCCAGTCTCTGAGATATGGCCATCTAATACACAAATGCTTGGGTATTCACACCCTACATGTGTTCTCTCTCAACCCATGTGTTCAAGTCATTTATAGTTGACAATTGTGATGCACACTTCAAAGTTCTGATAATGACTCAAGGGAAATCAAACCATGTGATGATGGTCCAAAATCATTACCACGAGGTCTCAAACTTTTTTTAAAGCAGGGAAATCCTATTTTCAAACAAAGTTATGTATGGACTTTCCAGAGTGGAAAGTAGATTTTTAAAAATAAGAGCTTACTTCGTAAAACACACAAGCAAGCAAGATTCTCTAAATTAAAGGTTACCCACCAAGGCTCAAGGGCCAAATCTGGCCCACCGCCTATTTTTGTACAGCCCACAAGTTAAGAATAATTTTTATTTATTTATTTATTTATTTATTTATTTATATTTTTTTTGATGAGGAAGATTGGCCCTAAGATAACATCTGTTGCCAATCTTCCTTTTTTTGCTTGAGGAAGATTGTTGCTGAGCTAACATCTACGCCAATCTTTTCTCTATTTTGTAAGTGAGATGCTGCTACAGCATGGCTTGATGAGAGGTGTCTAGGTCTGCACCTGGGATCCGAACCCATGGACCCCACGCCATTGAAGCACAGTGTGCGAACTTAACCACTATGACACCAGGCCAGCCTCAAGATGGTTTTATATTTTTAAGTTGTTGAAGAGTATCAAAAGAAGAAGAGTATTTCATGACACATGAAAAGTATATGAAATTCAGATTTCAGTGTCCATAAATAAAGTTTTATTGAAAGACAGCCGTGGTCATTTGTTGACCTATTGTGTATGGCTGCTTTCTCATTACAACAGCAAACTTGAGTAGTTGTGACAAAGACATTATCGCCCACAAAGCCAAAAATATTTACCATCTGGCCCTTTACAGAAAACGTTTGCCAGCCTCTGCTGGTTGGCAACATTTTAGCTCAGTTCCTAAAAACAAGTTCTGCAATGATTTACTTTCTTCTTACATGTGGGTATGTTATCTACTCTACCAGTTGTAAATATCCCTGAGTATCGTCCATCAAATCTACTTGAGGGCAGGTTTCATCATTGGTAGGTTGGGTATATGCTTCCCCAGCTCTGTGCTCAGCCCCGTGGAAAATTCTGAAGGAATATAAATTGTAACTTCTGCCCTCAAGGAGCTAAAAATCTATCTCAGGAGAGAACAGTGTTCTGTTCTGCATTGAATCAAATGTGAGACTCAACTCGTTTCTGTGATTTCTATCAGGAAACACTCCCACGAGGCCTGTGTGCGGAGAGCAAATCAAAGTGAAGTTCGGGGAAAATGGAGGAGGGAGTTTCCATCACAGTAAAGAAAATAATTTCATATTGAATATCGAACCTCCCTGTTCTTAAAGCATTCCACCTTGTTGCTTTGTCCTCCCCTTTTCTCTCCTCTGTTCTCTCCCATCCCTAGCTCTGTCTATCTCTGATGCAGAGGCAGAGGCATTCAGTATTTCCTTCCTGCCTTAGCTGCTGCTGACCCGTGCCCTCAAGGTCCCGTCTTTCACTCCAAGCAGCTTATCAAGCATTGTTATTATATATTCCCTAGACAAAGATGATCCTCTCCCTAAGAGAAACTGGTGCCATCTGTTAATACTTCAGCATTTCAACTGAGGAGAGGAAGGGAGAAGGAAAGCATCCTTGGTGAGAGGAACATAAGCAAAGGTTTGGAGATGGGCACGGGGCAGTGAGGAAACAAGCTAAATAAGAGGTGGTGTTTGGATAATAGAAGTTAAAAGAAAATAGCTGAGAAAAGCAAGGAAGATACCACCAAAGGACCTGACAATGAAGGTAAAACAGTGAAGAAATAGAGAATCATTGTAAGTTTTTGAGCATAGGAGTAGCATGATGAAATTAGCACTCACTGAATATGGATATTGAGGCTGGATTCAAGGGGACAACACTTAAGGCCAAGAGGCCAGATAGGAGGAGGTTGTAATAATCTAGACATAATGTGGTAAGAGCCTGGGTTTCAGTGGGAGCAATGGTGATGGCAGGAAAAATGGCTATACAGATTCTCTAGAGGAAAAATTGACATGACATAGCTTTAGAGAATGTCGGGAGGGGAAAAAGACTTGACCCTGGATAACTGGAAAATAGAGGAGATATTCTCAAACATTTTATTATTTAAAAAGTAAATGTATAATTTATACCTTTCCTACTTTCATAAATAATCCAATCTTCTTATAGAAAGGCCACATACGTATATACAGAGGGAAATAAGATTAACCAGAGATCTAAATTAATAGGAAAAAAGGAAAGCGAGGATGATGTAATCTTCTGGCTGAGTACTAAATTTAGCTCTGAACTTCCTTGCAGCTGAGGCAGGTGGCTTCACAGCTGTAACTATCTGTACCATTTTCTCAAGAGACTATCACTTGCCTGGCAGTAAATTCTGGAACAAATCACACTGATCTTTACTGAGTAATGTAATAGATATGATCTCATCGTGGTTCCTTAAAAGATAAGAAAATGCTTTTCATATGGCTGACACATTGATCAACACTTGAGAAAAGCTGTGGGCCCAGTGTTAAGTTACAGTCCTGTGAAGGCTGGTTCGCATCAACTAGGATGAGAACTGAGCCTGTTCAGGACTAAGGCGTGGAGCTGGGCGAAGGTAGAGATGCGAGTCATAGCACATCCCTTTTTGTGCCACAGATACCCAACCTGAGTTCTGGAGCAAAAAGGGAGATGCTAAGACTTGGCCCAAGAGTGAAAGAACAAGAGGACAAGGTCTAAGGGTGAAGCTAGTTGGCCATGATTCTTCAAGAACCTCTGGCCATTTTTCCATCTTCACTGGGATCTCACTGGTAGAGAACAAATAGTCCACTACTTTCACAAGATCCTCACAAAGTTAAACAAAACCACCTTTTATTGCAACAGGAAACTAGCACATATGCCCCCTTCCCAGTCTGTTCCTTGGCATGGGTGTGCGAGGTGAAGGACGGCTGAGGGTGTGAGCATGGAGGCTAGTCCCGCGCAGTCACATGCTCCACCCGGAGATGGCGGGAAAGGCATATGACCTATGTGAACTCTGAGGACGAAGGTATTTTATGGTTGCAACTTTCCTCCCTTTCAATTGTTACCATTAAATTTTTTCTTAAGCATTTCCTTTCAAAATTTCCAGAAAAACATGGCAATTTCTAGGCTGAAACACAAATAAATGTGTGCCCTCAAATCACCCTGTCCTTCCCATAACAACACTTATTACAATGTAATTGCTTGTTTTCTTGGCTGTCTTTCCTGCTGAATGATAAAAAAGTTTCAGAGGGCAAGGCCTTGTAATCTTGCTCACCACTGCTTCTCCAGCACCTAGCATTGTGTTCAATAAGTTACTGAATAATGTTGAATGAAAGCCTTCTCATATTTCTCTCCTTTTGCTATTTCTACTGTTCTTGATCCTGACCCAACTTTTTCCTAGGCAAAGAGACTGTCTCTCATTCTGACTTAAAAGGGCTGAAGCTGGGTATTTGGAGGCATAATTGTTAGTTGTCTAGGATTTTGTCCTATTAATTTTGAGTAGAGTTGTATTAACAGTAATGGTATATATCAAATATTCTTTTCTCTTCAATTCCCTCGACATCTCACTCTGTAGTTCTTCCAAAAGCCACAAGAAATTTCTGAGTTTCATGGAAATGCCTACTACTTCTTTGCCTACGTTGTAAAGAAAATTGGTGACAACATGGCACTTGACTACTTACCATATGCCAGCCTCTGTTCTAAACACTTCATAAATATGAAGTCATTTAAAACTCTCACCAAATCTATGAGGTATGTAGTTATTATTTTCATCTACAAATAAAGAAAACAAGAAACACAGATTAATTTTAAAAGGTGCCCAGGGTCTAGGACTATACATACGGCTGTGCAGACTGTGCACTGTACAACTCCAGGGGGCACCATTATATATCCTGCACTGCTGTATGTAGTTGCCCTGCCAAGGTCATGGAGCTAGTACTCAGTGCAGCTAAGACTCTAACCCAGGCTTCCTGGCTCCAGCTGCTACCCTTAACCATTATACTAACCTAGGTCTTTTTCCTTTCATGTCATTCCTGCCCCCGTGGGGTTATTCTTAGGAATGTTGGCAATACCAACCCCTCAAAGCTCACTATTGGTGAGTCCCTGATTCCATCAAAGTCAATTCTTTTATATTATCTGGGGGCTACTCATTATCATGCAGATTGCTTTTACACTCCAGTTAAACAGAACCTTCAGTAGCTAGAACTGTGACCCGTAGAAGTTGAGGAAAGCAGAGAATATTCTTTAATCTAAACCAGAACTCTGGAGTAAAATAGTTCCTTTCCTTATACATTTATAAGACGATTTTTGTCATTATGCTAGCAGGATGTTTAAGGTCTCTTTACGTTCTTGATGCCAACATAGAAGAGAATAAACATATATGAGAAGATAAGCAGAGTTTCGCTAATAACGTGTACTCATCACAAATATACATTTATCGTGCACTTGTACTTGGCAGGAAAAAATTTTTTATTGATATTTAATACAAACAAAAAACAAAACAAAGAACTGACTTCAGTTGCTTCTGTCTTCAAATAAAGGGGAGGGGATTTAATTTATAGAAGGGAAAGATGAAATCTCCATACAGAAACTAGCAAATGAGCTAAGAGAGCAAAGCTGAATCCTGCTAAAACTTAAAATAACCACACAAGTGTCCTTCTGAGGGGGGAGAAACTGGGTAGGCGGCCTTTTGTTCAGCAAAGCAACTGAGAGTGTTGGGGTAAACGAGGGTTTGTAAGTCACAGCACTATTGACATTTGACTGGATAATTCCTTTTTGTGGGGGGCTGTCCTGTGCACTGTAGGATATTTAGCAGCATCCCCGGCTTCTCCCCATGAGATGCCAGTAGCACCCTCTCCCTGGTTGTGACAAGTGAAAATGTTTCCAGACATTACCAAATGTCCCCTGGAGGGCAAAATTGACCCAAGTTGAGAACCACTGGGATAGACAAAGGTAGGCTCAGAAATAGATAGAGACCAGAGTTAGACTGTTCCAGGCCAGTGGTTCTAAATTTGTAGTCCTTGCACCAGCAGCAGCAGCATCACCTGGGAGCTGGTTAGAAATGCAGAATCTCAGGCCCCACCCCAGACCTGCTTAATCAGAATCTGTATTTTAACACAATCTCCAGGTGATCCATATGCACGTTAAATTTGAGAACGACTTCTCTAATCCATCTACTAAAATTAAGACACTTTTGAAAACCTTTATGTGTTGATGGATTCCAGATAGCTGAGAGAGGGGGAGACTGACAAGGCTCCAGAGAAGGAGGGAAGGGAAGTGCAATATGGTGTTGGGCAGAAATTTTCTAAGGCAGCTGGTTAAAGATCTTTGGAAATTAATATTCAATGAAATTGTGTACTGTGATGTGATGCCATCCCTTGCCCCTCACCTCTCATGTCCCCCATGTCCCCAAACCTGTAGTACTACTCTGCTATATGCTTGCAAGAGTCTGTATTACTCTGTGGAACTGAAGAAAAGTGGGCTGTTGCATGTTTGTGTTGGTGTTGGGCAGACAGAAGAGGCCAGCCGCAGGAGGCAAGACTCAGAGGAGGAGATCAAGAACTTGGTGGAAGTAGGAATTAAAGCAAAAGACAAGGAGATTCACAGGCCCCCACATTTCCACTAATGGGGGAAGGGGTGGGGTTGCTGGTTCCATGTGTGGAATGGGGACCACAGCCATTTACACGTTAAGGGAAAAAGGACTCCCCCTCTCCTTTCATGTTAAAGGAAGAAACCCCCATAAGCTGGGAGAGGAGGACTGGGCACAGGGATCTGTAGATTTGCATTTCAATTCTCTCTGTGTTCTACAGCTTGGGTGTCAAGCCAGATCACTTACTGTTTCTAAGAAAATGGGTATGTATTTCCAGAAACAAATCTTCTTCTGAGGTCCCTGGTTTCAATTACTTTCCATTACTGTACTTGTACTGAAATCTCCATATAATGAAAATCCTAACATGGGTGTTTTAGTAATGATCTTTCCATTAACCTAACATAAACAAGGGAAGGTGCAGGGTGAGCGAGTGACGTATTTGTGCTACAGCTCATGCAATGAAATGGAGGCTTCAAATGGATAGTGATATTATATATGGCATAACAAGCAGAAATAGTTTGAAAAAATATATTGCAGCAAACTTTAGCATGTCAATCAGAAATTCTAAAACATGTATTAACTCAATCAAGACTAATTTTCATTAATTAGTGTGAACAATACCCCTTCCTCCCAGGGAAATCAACTGTTTCAAACAGTGCAAGTTTTGTGTTGAAGGAATGTTTTGTTTTGTAAACAATCTGCCTGATTTTCATTTTGGAAAGCAATTTGGCAGTTTCTTAAAAAATTGAACATACATTTACCATAGGACTCAGCCATCCATCTCTTAAGTATTTACCAAGGTAACTGAAAGAATATAGCCATACAAAGACTTGTAAATGAATGTTCATAGCAGCTTTACTTGCAAGAGCCCAAAGTTAGAAAAAAAAAATATCCATCAACAAGTGAATGGAAGAGCGAATCATAGACTATCTGTACAACGGAATATAACTCACCGATAAAAAGGAACGAACTAGTTATATACAATATCAACATGGCTGGATCTCAAATTAACTGTGCTGAGTGAAAGAACCTGGACCAAAAAAGGGTACATACTGTTTTATTCTATTCATATAAAACTCTAGCTAATGCAAACTAATCTGTAGTGACAGAAAGATCAGTGGTTGCCTGGGGAGTGGAGGTGTGGGAAATGAATTACAAAGGGGCATCAAGAAAACTTTTGGCAGTGATGGATGTGTTTATTATCTTGGTTGTGGTGATGGTTTCACAAGTGTATACATATGTCAAAACTCAGTAACTTGTACACTGTAAGTATGTGCCATTTATTGTATGTCAATTAATCCTCAATAAACCTATAAGAAAAAGACCAAAAACTGGTTTTAAATGATTACTGGGCACATATAAATCACAAAAAAGGGATAAAAGTGCTAAATATATGTAACATTTTTAAAGCCAAAATGAGCTGCACTTTCTTACTTTATAGGACTCCTTCCAAATAACCTTAAGCAGCAGTGAGCTTGCGTCATTTTCTTCAGCACAGTGCAATGCTCAGCGGGTAGACCACTGTAATTTTGGATGTTGGACTGCTCTTTGTGTCCGTCCTTCATGTTAATTAAATCTGTTACTCATGTTGCAACTGATCGTTGTCTACGTAAATTTTTTTATTGAAATAGTCCTTGGAACTGAAGTCAATCTCTATGGTTGTGAGAAAAGAGATACCTACTCTCACTTAAACATGGCATTTTGTTTGCCTAAAGAGCTGGTTGAATGCATGCTGCACCCATGTGCAAGCTCGTTTATCAAATGAGATAAATTGGGGAGAGCACTATGTAAATTGTAAAATACTAGAGAGCTGGAAATTGTTACTGCTACTGCTTCTGCTGCTATTAATTAATTTAGGATGGTGACTGGTAATAATTAATTCATTTGATCAATACGATTAGCTAATTTAGAAGACTTGAATTCTAAAGTGAACTGATGCATTAATAATAAAGTTAACATGAAACCGATACACAAGTAAATGAGATACATGTTCCATAGGCACACCCCCAAAATGGATGTGACCAGCGCTACTTTTTTCTTCTCTAACAGAATTATAATATTTATACATATATACACAGGTATACACAGATGTGTGTGGGTGTGGGTGTGTGTATGTGTACATATGGCAGCCCCCGAGATTACGATTGTAAAGAAATAGTAAAAGTTTAGGTACAAGCTAGGCATTTTGCATGTCAAACAAAACTCTGGTCAATGAATGTTATAAACACTTAACACGAGATCAAACAAACCTCTGTGAAATAATAACCCTTCTCTCACTTTTCTGCACGTTAGAGAGTATCATCTTGAAGCAAATATATCTCACAATCTCCTGCTTCACAGAATCCTCTGAGCTTCTTTTTCTACCCCCTACCTTTTACCTTCCCTGTTGTTCACTAACCCCCCTTCTTTAATTCCCTCTGGTCTGCTGTGCTCTTGTAGGACAAATCAAAAGTTCCGTTTTCTCTGCCTCATTCTCTTCATAGGATTTTCTCCCTGTCAGGGATAATCTGTGTCAATCAAATCCTTATACAACCCCTTCTTTCACATAATTTTTTTAGAACAATGTCGCAGTGGTAGTTTTGCTGGAATACGTAGTTTTCTTGCTCGTTTTGAGCACATCACATACACAAGGTTCTTTGAGGGTTTATTTCACATTCCAAAGGGTTTGAAATGAAAAAATTATTTTCCTACTTCTCAACTGAAGCCTTAAAAGCCTGGCATTATCCTTGACTCGTGCCTCTCTTTCATTTCTGAGCCTGGAGAAGGTCTGGGTTTCTATCTCTCGGGCCTGATTTCCCTTTTCATGGCATCATATAATGGATTTTTAAAAGATAATCACCAGAGTACTAAATTAATTAGTAGAAGCCTATAGACCCAAATTTGTGAACGATGTAATAATAATATAAATGTTGGTTTGGATTTTGAACAATGTGAATGTTGGTATGGAGCAAAGAGTAAACGGCTGGGTCATCTGGCAACAGCTGGTAAGAACCACAACACGGGGCCGGCCCCGTGTCTGAGTGGTTAAGTTCATGTGCTCCGCTTCAGCAGCCCAGGGTTTTGCTGGTTCAGATCCTGGGTGCGGACCTAGCGCCACTCATCAGGCCCTGCTGAGGCAGTGTCCCACATAGCACAACGAGAAGGACCTACAACTAAAATATACAACTACTCACTGGGGGGCTTT